TGTCCCCTGCATCGGCAGGCGGACTCTCAACCACTGCGCCACCAGGGAAGCCCCACCTTAGGTGCCAGTATCTTTAGGAGGGCTTGGCAGTGGGGATGGAGAGGGGTCTAGGGTTCCACTCTCAGAAGTAGTTAGGACTAATTGGGTAGGGCTAGCACCAGGGACAAAGGGGGACAGATGTGTGCCACGACTGTCATCTCTTTTTGATACTGAGCACCTACTGTGTACCTCTTCCCGGCCTCACAAGGTCCCTCAGAGGCCTTGTTGCCCTCGACCAGATGAAGAGCCTGAGAAGGGGAGGGAGTGGAGTGGGGGGCTTGCTCAGACACAGCTGCAGCTTCACTCCCCTTTCCCACCACTGGTGCTCTGTCTTTTACCAGAACTCACTCTGTGACGTTGAGCAAGTCTTTGCCCCCCTCGGGAGAGCTGGTTTCAGGGGAATCAGGGACGCCTGGCTTCCCACATTTAAAGTTTTAAAGAGCGTTCCAGTCCCTCCCCCTCCCCCAAGTCTCCTCCCGTCGGACGCCCAGGTGAGCGCTGGGAGCTGCCCGCAGGTGATGATAATACCAACAGAGTACCTCGCATTTGCTCCGCGACCCGACCTGTGCTAAATTCCTTTCCTCCGTAATTCTCCGCAATCCCCAATCCGAGACATCCCATGGCCGAATTCGCCCCGCGGGCCCGGCCCCCTTTCGGTGATCAAGATGCAGAGGTCCCGACGGCCTCGCAGCACCGCCCCCACGTGCCGCCACTGGCGGCTCCGCCCGGGCCCGCTCGAGAGAGACCGGGGGCGGGGCCTAGCGGGGCCTCGGGGCGGGGGTTCGGCCGGGCTCGGTGACTACACTGGCCCAACAGACCGCCCCACTCCTGCCACCCTCCGATGGGTCCACTGCCTTTTTGCCCGCCAGTAGGGCTGTCGCTGCTGCTGCTACTGGGACCCGGACTCGGGCTCAGCTCAGGTGAGTGAGGGATGGGCCCCCTCCAAGGACCCAGGAGTTCCTGGGGCTCCTCCAGTCCTCCCCAGGGTGCCAGGAGCCCTGCCTCCCCAGCCCTCCCAGGGGACCCAGCAGCCCTACAGCCCCCAGCCCTCCTTTCTGTGGTCCACCCACACGTTGCTTCCCAGCTTCGTGGGAGCCCTGTCCCCGCCCCCCGTCCCCCCTGTCCTCCCCTAGAGCCCCTCATTCACTGCTTCCAGGGACCCAGAACTAGCCCAGTCCTCCCCCAGGGCCTCAGTGTCCTCCCCCAAAACCTTCTCCACTCACTGGCACCCTCTCCAGTGACCAGACCTCCCCATCCACCTGGCCTGGTGCCCTGTGAACTGAGCCTTCACTCCACCTGTCCCTGGGGTCTGCAGTAGGACCACCAGGGGGACACGAGAGGCTGAAAGGAGCAGGGAAAGAAGGGGCCCAGCCCTACCTGGGGTCGGGGGAGAACGCAATGTCCCCTTCTCAACCACCCCTGGACGTCACCCTCGGATAGGTCCCCTTGGCATATTACCCACAGGGACATGTGTGGACGCCACAAGCACAGAGACACACAGGCACAGGACGCCCCCAGCCTCATCTGGGCACTCAGGTGCTGGGCTCACGGACAGGCTCACACACAGACACAGGCAAAGACACCGCGAGGGAAACGCACACACCCACACACCCACACTCAGGGATACCGAGACAGCCCCATATGGACACACATACAGAGAGAAGCACACACACACAAACACACACATACCCTCAGACCCACAGGAAGCCTGGACAGCCTTGGCACTCCCAGCAGAGGCTGTTGTGGGCAGAAACAGCAAACAGCCCCCAGAATGACCTGCCCCACCTAAGCTGGCACGGAGGGAGTGTTTGTTTGCCTTGGTTACAAATCCAGTGCTGGGTGTCCACCCATGCCTGGGTTCTCCCTGAGAGTCCAGGACCCTGAGATGCCAGAGTGTGGGTCAGGTCAGGGTGGGGAGACCTCTGGGGACAGCTTTGGGGTGTGGGTTTGGAACTGGGGTCCTGTCAGATGTGCTTATTTCTTTTTCAAGTTTTTATTTTATTTAATTTATTTTTGGCTGTACCACGTGGCACGCAGGATCTTAGTTCCCCGACCAGGGATGGAACCCACGCCCCTGCAGTGGCAGCACAGAGTCTTAACCACTGGACCGCCAGGGAAGTCCCCAGATGTGCTTAGACTGGGAGTGTTCCATGGGGCTTGGTGGATCCAGGGGTCAAGGAAGCTTTTCTGAAAGCCCACTGCATGCCAGGGGATCCGGAGCTGCCTGCAGCAGAGATCTGTCCAGGCTGAAGGGTCATGCCCATGAGCAGACAGTGGCACAGCGTGACAAGGGCCCCTGTGGTCACATGGGGGTGAAGCAGATTCTAGAAGGAGGCGATGGGTGAGCTGGGTGAGGATGGAGTGAGGGCACTTGCAGCACGGGGTGTATGTGACAGGCAGTTTAACTGGAGGAACAGGACATGATGAGTAGGGTCCATGTGGGGCACGTTGAGAGAGGGTGCTGGAGTGGGGGGAGGGTCAGCTCCTACAGGGCCTCTGATTAGTGAGGACCCTGAGCTTTACCTGGAGGGGGACGGGAGCCTGGGGAGGTTTCAAGCAGAGGTGTGGGCAACTGGGGGCAGCACTCAGGAAGTCCTGTGAGAGGAGGACGGGTCATCCAGAGAGGAAGTCAAAGCTTTTAACTCTAAACTCGTTTTTACATTTTGTTTCTATTTATCTCCAGTCCCCTACACG